GTGTTTAAAGATGTAAAATGTAGCCAACGATATTACATCTGCTGAGGGAAAAACAGAAGAACACTTTTTATAGCTACAAAATTGAAAACATTATGGTATTGGTGTAGGTACAAATAAATTTTAAAAATAAAACAATGGAACAGAATAAAACTTGAAAGTGAATCAATGTGTATACAAAACTTAGTATGTGATAAAGCTGGTGTTTGACATGAGTGGAGAAAGAATGGGCTGCTTTAGTGAATGATGTTGGGACAAGGCTAGCCATTTGCAAAAACACAACATGAACACAAGTTAAACCTAGATTCATTCCAAAATCATTTACAAATATAAATTGCAGTTAGAGAAAAGCCTTAAACATGAAAAACTCAAACTAGAAATTGTTGGGAAATGCTTGTACATGATTGGATATATATGATCCCTAAGTAGAGATGACTTTCCTGAAAAGACAGGAAAGCAAAGGCAGCAGAGAATGTTGACAAAGTATCTTACAGCAAAATTAAGTCTTCTGCATGATCACCACTCTTTCACATCTCTCAATCAACTTGCCATTTCTTTCAATTGAAGTTATATTTTATACCAGCTTCTCCTTTATGTTTCATTATAAACCTATCTGTCAATCTGAACCCTCCTAAGATAGCAAGGTAGTGAAACCCTTTGAAATGAATGCTTTGGGAAATAATTTTTTTTTTACTTCTTTGCAGGAAAGTTATTGGTAGGCATTAAATCAATAATATTTACAAATATTTACTGAGTGCATACTATGAGCCAAAAGTTATGTCATCAGCAACAAAATACACTCAGAATGAATTACTTAAAATTTGATGAGAGGGAAACATTGGCCCTACTGCTGGATTTTCCTCCTATACATTTAAAACACTTTGCATTTCAAATTATTTTCTCTTTTTGTTCTGCCACTGCTGTTCTTTCATCAAAACCGTTCCCCAAATCAACAGACATTTCTGCAAAGTGCTAATTTAGCTCAGAACAATGCAAAAAAATATCAAATAGAAAGGAAAGCAAGAAGCAAAAATCTTCTAAACGCTACCATTTAATATTTATCATCAACCATTCTCCATCAAGGCACATTTGTAAATCACAACTCAGCTTTGGCTATACCCTTCCTCAAGTGTAGTTGGACTCTCTCTCCCTCAGCCACAGGCATCAGGCTCTGGGTTCTGCAGCCCCCACCCTCCACACCTCCATCGGCTAACTGTGAGCACAGCTTTTTGAAGAGACCCCCTTGGCAGCAATTCGTAGTGTCATTCTTTCACTCATTTTCCACCCATTTTCTGGGTCCTTTTTTCATTCCTCTGCTCTCTGCTGTCAGAAGTGGGAGCTGTTGTCATGTCATCAACAGATTTTTAGAAAGTACGTACTGAACACAGCAGTTATCTAATAACCTAATCCACACTTAAGTTTTAGTAGGAGGGGGGAAAAAGGTTGTGTCATGGCTCCTAGGTCTATTTACTTTCAAAATGGAATTTTCTAACCTTGGAACATGTTATGGGCTGAATTGTTTCCCCTGCATGCCATACGTTGAAGCCTGAACCCCCAGTACCTCAGAATGTGACTGCATTTGGAGATAGGGCCTTTAAAGAGATAATTAAATTAAAATGAGGTAATAAGGATGGGGACCTAAGCCAATATTACTGGTGTCCTGATAAGAAAAGATTAGGACACAGATAAGTACAGGGAAGATCATACAGACAAGGACACAAGACATCCATCTAACAAGTCAATAAGAGAGGCCTCAGAATAAAACCAACCCTGCTGAGATCTTGATCTTGAACATCTGGCCTTCAGAACTGTGAGAAAATATAATACATTTCTGTTGTTTAAGCCGCCAAGTCTGTGGTATTTTATTGTGGCAGCCCTAGCAAGCTAATACATGCCAGAATACAGACCCTAAAGCAAAGACTTGGGGGAAAGTTGCTTTTCCGGAGCACAAGGGGTAGAAAGTCTTGTGTATTGGAATGCGTGTGTGTGTTTTATTTTTCACTGTATCAACATATAGCTTCCCAAATTTACATTTTGTTTTCTTATTGATTAAATTTTTATATTGCTCTAAGTTTTGCTTTTTGCTATATAGAAATTATAATTAAAAAGTCCTAACTTATTAAAAATAATTAAATGGTTAATAGCTTTCTTTGCAATGTTATATCAGGATTCCTTTAAATAGCAATTACCCTGACTGCATTTAAAACAGAGATCCCATTTATAAAAGTTTACTTTTTGTGCATTTTTTTAAATGCTTGAATTTTTTAGCTATTATAAAAGTAACCAACATGAAAAAAATCATCATTGCAAAGTTCAAATTCATAATAAAAATTAAAGTTCAATTAACTGTACAGGATTCCCTAAAATAGCAAGCTGCATGAGGGCATTTAAAACCTGAATTCCATTTAATAAACATCCAACTTACAGTAATTTTTTTAGGAGCGTCTAGTGAGTAGGAAATCACTGTATTTTAGGAAAGCACACACATGCCTTTCTTAAGTATTCATTAATATAACCACAGTAGGTAGTAAGCTTTATGAGGTCATTGGATCAAGTCTAATTAGCTTTGTAATGTGTTCCCAGCACCTAGCACAGTACCCGATATTTAGTAGGCCATCAATACGTAGCTGTTTAATGACCAAATCGATAAACAAATGAGAGTGGGTGGAGAAGTTGTATATAAGTCAAAGGATGTAATTCAAAGAGACTGAAAGACATCCTTACAACAGCATACCGAGTAAGCCAGGAGCAGTTAGACTGTGCTGGGAGTCCAGACTATGTGAAACCAGAGGAAAGATATAGGATACTTCACTGAGTGATCGAGGCATGGGGCTCTTATTTTGCAGGAAGACCAAGATTTGGCACAGGGACAATAGAACAGATATTCCACTTCACTTTGAACAAGAGCTATAAGAAATCATGTCTCAGGGAGGGGTTGCAAGCAACAGGAAACGTTACCTTTACATTTATTTGTGGGACCTCAGAAGAACAACAGAAATATACACAGAACTGGTATAGTGTGGATGCAGGCAATAAAACGAGAAGTAGATCTTCTAATTAATGGTAGCAAACCAGATATTCCCTGAGATACAGGTCTTTGTATTAAAGGAAGGGCCTATTTATTCACCTCAGTTCTCTTATCTCAATGTCATTAAATGGCTTTCACCAATCAGTTAAGAAACAGAATAAGTGCATACATCTTGCAGCAACGTGACTCAGGAGATGACTAACTTTTAATATTATCAGATCTACCTGGATATGGTTAAGTTATGCCACGTATACTACAGAATCCCTCTGTAAAAGACCCCAGGGGTAGGCGATGGCTTTCCTCTCCAGATTTACAATCATGCTGTGGTAACTTTGAACGTTCCTCTGAAGAGAGGGGCAGGGGAGTTGCCTGGGTACAGAGTGGATCTGCCCTGTTGGTTCTAACTGGTGTGTTATATAAAAATTTTAAAACAAAATGCTTATGTCAAATTGTGTTAAATAAATCACATGTAAAATTAATTCTGCAACATGAGAACCTTTTAAAATGTTTAGTATGTGAACATACAGACATATACATACAGCATTTTAAATGCCTCAGATGGCACCTTCATCTTATTTATTGAAGTAGACATGTGTCGACAAGAAAATATTCCTGATTCTCAGATTAAAGAACAGCTAGGGACAGGTTTCAGCAAGATTGAAAACATGGATGCATTTTTCTCTAGAGTGGTCAATGTTTTTCCCCTTTTATCTCCCATATCTGCTTGTTGCCATGGCACACGCCAACCCCATATTTTCTGTGCTGCATGATCTTATATCAGGACAGACATTACCACCTTCTCCACGTTTGCTGGAGATAAAAGGAATGCCTATAATCACTTACATGGGCTGACCAATGAATAGGCAGCAGGGACCAGTAACTTGCTAGTTTCTTAAGAAGGTATGAAAGTGATCTAAAAGTATCATTCCCTGAGTCCAATTTGAACAATGTTAAGCTTTTAATTCTTTATTTTTATTATTCTCTAGACACTCAGGCTTATTCCCCAAGGCCATGTCAAAACTCTGTCACCCAATTCCACTGAGAGTGAAGAAAGTCAAGTTCCTTGTATCTGGACCCTCTATGATTTACCCTTGAGTGCAGGCAGAATTGCAGCCCAGTGAATTCCTATCATCCCAAGGGGTGCTTCTCCCCTGACTCTCACAAAAATCTCCATGAACTTCCTGTTCCTGGTCATAACACTACCTCAGCTTCCTTGAATGTGTTCTTATTTCTAGACTGCTCCTTACTCTCTCATCCTCTGAACGCACTCCTTTCTTCTTGCAGTGACAGCTCTTTCACCCCGGATGAAATCATCATGCCTCTGAACGCTGGCTTCTCTCAGTTCTTTCGCTTTCCCCCCAGATTTGCCTCATTTCTGGTCGCCAGCTTGCAAGTCTCTTATGATCTTCCTCATTCAGTTTCTGGGAATCCTTGCTTTCTTGTTTATCACTCAATTATAAAATAAGTCTCACGAATATTCAATCTTCTATTTGACAATATTTTGTTTTCTCCCAAAGTGGGGGATGAAATGTAAATTTATGACAGGAACATTTTCTTATATTTATATAGGTAATACTGTGGCTTTAAGAAAAGCCAGAATACTGAATGTTGCCAAGAGTTCTACATTGAAATAAATGGTCCCATATTTTTCATCATTTGTTGTATGTTTTGTATCTTCATTGTGAAATCGTGGTTCCCTGCACCTGATAGGTACTTAGTTAAATATTTAACACTTTCCCCAAACACTGTCCCTCTGCTACTCCTAAACATAGCATCAGATTGGATAGCTAGCCTGTTGTATCTGCAGAGAATATGTAACCTTAGCGCGTACTGCACTCGTCTCCATGGATACCAAATTTCTGTGAATGGCACTGAGAGTGAAAAAAATCTACAGGAGGAAGCTAAATTTTGCACATTCTTTCAGTTTGGGTCCTTTTCTTTCTGATCCATTTACCTCTTACATTTTCCATTCCAGGCTATGTATAGCAAGGATCCTCGCATACTTCATACAATAGACAACCTTGCATTAGGATCACAGGGCATCATGTTTGCATCTTTTTGGCTGCTCCATGAGCATCAACCTGTGGAAATTGAAGCTGCTGCAGGAAATGGGAAGGTAAATGCCTAAGTCTTTTTTTGACAAACTAACCAGAAATCGCCAACTTGAGGAGCCCAGAAACCTGGCGCTCAGTAAGAACAGTAATTGCAGAGGGGAGGGAATGCTAGAGCAGTTTTTTACATCTTTAAAAAGCTAAATTAAATTGATAAGCCTTCACAGACCAACAAAATCGTCAAAGTTCATTTTTGGTTGGAACATTATTAACTTAGCAACTCCCTGTTTTCACCTTGTACTGCTTAAAGCTCTGGTGGATTGTTACTTTTGTCCTTAAATAAATAAAAACAAAGGATGTGTTTATTATTATAGTTTTAAAATGGGGTATACTTATGTGAGCCCTTGCTCAAAAACTCCACGACAAGACATGGAGGCTGAAGCGTGGGTACCCAAGAGACTAACGCTGAAGATGGCAAGGGTATGCGTGCTCCACAGAGGTCATTGGGACTGCTGGTAGCTGTGACCTTGAGCCTGGTATATAGGCTATTCTTCAGCCTCCATGGCTCCCAGGGTGCAGCCAGTTGGGACTTCTTGGAAGGACTCTAATGGCTTTTTAGGAAGGAAGAACAACTTGCTGGGGACTGAGTATTCTTTAGGGATCAGTTTGGATGGCACTTGGGTCAAGAAAAGGGCTCAACACCACAATAGCCTTAATTATCAGACTTTCTTCTTTTCTCTCACTGAAATATATGCTAAGTTTAGGATATAAGGAGCTTTTTCCTCCATTAAAAAGAACCAATCTTCACATTAAAAAATCATGCTACCAAGTGACAGATGAGTATAGGTGAGAATGGCTAAAAATTCCTCCCTGCAGGCAGCTGTCAGAATCAACCTCCCTCCCACTTTGTAGAGGCGGTCGAGAGAGCAGAAGGGACTTCTGGGAAATATCCTTGCGTATGCTTTCCTCTTCAAATTCTGAAGCATGTCTAATGAGTGCCTTTCCCCACTTCCTTCCAAGTCAGGCAAAAATGGAAGTCAAATATTTCTTATTCAGTAGGAGGTCAGTATCATATACCTGAGAGAGATACAGGCTTTGTCCTTGATCTGAAATTTAAAGCTGGGAAAATAGATATTCTCAAAAGATAGTAAAACTGTATAAAGGGAACTGTAGAAGCCATTACTCTGGGCACATACTGGCTTCAATACTAAACCTCCCAGTAAGTGTAAAGGAACACAATATTACTCACCATGATGATGGGAAACATTTCTTGAAAAGGAAGAGTTTACAAATTGGATGTTGTCAACTAATTATATCCTAAAAAATGTTATCTCAAGCAAGGACAACTGAAAGACACACTCAAAAAAATAGACTGGGGCAAACAGCAAAATATCATTCAGTTCAATGAAAACTTCAGAACACATCCACAAACTGAACGTTAACTTTGCTTTGACTCCTACAAACAGAAGGCAATGATACCATTTTCTCTGGTACACTATATATGGCCTAATTTGCTCTATTATATATGTGTGCGCATGCGTATGTGTGTCTAATATGTTATATACACACAGACGCACACACACACACACACACACTGAGGGTGTCAAAAAAGTGTATACAAGTAGACACTTTGGTCATTGTTGCTCAAGCAGTAGTTCACCGTAATCAGAAATGTCTGGACACTGATGGTAACCACTTGGAGCACCTCTTGTAATTGTAGAAGTCAAATGTGACTTGTATTCATCTTATGTTATTGGTATATATTGGGTATTACAATTTTAATAGTTTTTCCCTTTCTCAAAATATGTATACATTTTTTGGCACCCTCTATATGTATGTATGTATGTGTATACATATACATATACATATACATGCACACAATAAATTCTTCATTTTTATATCAGTTTTTTTACGTATAACAAAAATGAATATTTCATTTTGTTTTCACCTTTGCATCCCCCCACACTCTTTATTCCATTCCCTTCTCTCCACAGTTGGAAAGCAGATGAACTACAGTGAGGAGAACTGATAAATTTTTCAGAGGAAATCATGTCTTACTATTCTTTGTAAACCCCACTGCTTCATACAATGTTTGGCAGATTTAGGTACTCAGAGAGTTTTGGTTAAAAGTTTGAATGGATGGGCTGTGGAATGCATGAGTGGATAAATACATTTATGTTATCCTCGTACTGTAACTTAAGAGAAAGAACATATTGCCTCAATGTTTATTATAATTCTTTTGTTCACACCTGTAGAAGACAGATCCACTGGGACATGTAAAAGTGACAGGAAGGGAATGGCATTTGCCACACACGCAGAACATGTCCTGTGCTGGTGTTTTCATATGTGATCATAGTCAATCTCCATAAAAACTCTGTGAGAAAGTATCATTCTCTGCTTTCTACAGATAAGCGGATAGCGTCCCAGAGAAATACTAACCTGTCCAAATTCACCAAGCTGTGAGGTAGGATTTAAATTCAAGTGCTAGTTTTTCCCAAGCAGCATACCTTTTCCTCTCTAAACACAAAAACAAAGTACAAAGATGAAATCACAAACGAATCAGGTTGTAAGACTATTTAAAACTCTTGGCACTTTTAAGTGGTCCCTACCAATTTATTTATTATTTATTGAGCACTCGCTGTGTCCAAACTACACTTGAAATACAAAAGGGCACAAGAAGGTAAATTTCTATTACCTTTCACGATGGGCGGTTGCGGCCTGATGTCAATGATCTGGATAATACAACACGCTAAGTGTATGAGAAACCAAAAAGATTATTAAGGACCCTCCCACACATATTAAAGTAATGAAAAATAATCTATCCTGAGACTAATGGTACATTTTTTCTCATTAGTTAAATTAGACTTAGTGCTAAAATATTATCTTTGTAAGCATAATAATTATTAAGCTAATTCTGTAACCAAATAATCTGTTGATGCTAAAAATGTCGTTACAATTGATGAACTTTATTGAGAAGATTTTTAAGAGTTTACCGGACATCTGAAAGTTTTCTCAGGCAGTAGGGATACCTCGATGCTGCTGTTTACCATCATCCTTCTTATGTGGAAACCAAACAGAGACATTCAGAATCACAGAGTTTTGAGAAATGACGTCCTGTTAGCTATTTGTCCCAGTTCTACCACAGAGTAGCCATAGAAGTATAGAAAAATCACAGAACCAGAGCGATTTCTTAGAACACAATGTCCGAGAATGTTTTGTCATGTATGAAAGAGGTATATTTGTCAGGGATCCTACCCTTTCAAAAGTCAGTCTTTCATTCTCAGAGATAAAATTGTCATCTAAAACAGCACTTTTGGAAAGAGCTTTGCCATGCCTCTCTGCCTCCTTGCTTCATTTTGTCCTGAGTATAACTTAAAGTTCCCCCTTTCTCTACCTAAATGGCAACAAGCTTAAGGCTGTTTGGCAGTTGAGCCTACAAACCGGGCTTTAGTTGGGGACAGGACAAAAGGCCTTAATCCTTACTTCATGGGGTGGACAGGGACACACAGGTGGTCACAGACACAGGTCTGGTGGAAGCACACACCTAGACAGATACAGGTCAGGGTAGACAACAGTGGAACTACAGGGCGAGGCCATCCTTTCACACTGGGCTGAGCAGAGCCTGGAGGTGGGGATAGCACTTCACAGATGCTCACCACAAAGTGAATGTACGCCCCATTGCTGTGATCCTCCAGGCCTCCAGATTGTGTGCTGCGCAGCCGTGAATAATGGGGGATTGGAAATGCTGCTCTGGGCAAATGGCGCCTGCTCCACTCACATTCACCTGGACGGTGGCCCAGGCCAGGCTGGGGAGCAGAGGTAGAAGGAAAATCCATTCCAGACCATTATTGGGCCACCAACTCAGAAGGCTATGTGCCAAGCTACTAATTGTCAGGGCCCAGCAGCCCTTCCTGACAGGGCTCACACAAGGCCGGCATTGTTCTCAGTCAGACCTCGCATCGGAAGGAAAAATTCTACAGTATAACTGTGGCCAGACTTTCTCCCTTGTCTGAGATGCTATATTGCTGTATTTGTGTCCTCCCTGGATCTGGGGAATCTTATATTCCTCTCAATCCTGTCGAGAAACAGCCCCAGCACTATATTAAATGCATTGTTTCCTGGCTGTGAGGGAGAAGATGGCCTTCTATCTACCTTCCCGAACTGAAAGGAACTGTTCTAGGAAGTTTTCTAATAAAAACCTAAGGGAGGTGGAAGGAAACTTTAATTTTCCATGATTTATTCTTAAATCTTGAATTTTCACAAGCAGCATGCATTAATTTTGCAATAATAATAAAAAAAAGAAGGTCTAGAAGGAATGAATTTACTTCACCATTTCACATAAAATCATTATTATAAATGAGTTTAAAGATATTAAATATAATGCATGTGTTTTATTGAGTGCTGAGGGAAGTGGTGCAGTTTAATTGAGGATTTCCTGTGCTGTCTGGAGCTGAGAATAAGGGATTGTATTGTGGCCTCTCTGCCCCTGTTTTCCCTTTCCCCCTGAGCCTAATATATCAATCAAATAAAATTAGTGTAATTAGGAAGTTGACTAAAGACAGAGGAGCTCTTCCTTGTGAATTCCTTCAAATGAAAACCCAAGCGCCATTACAAAGCAAACAAATTTATCTATTCATTGAAATTAAATGAATATGATCATTATAACTTTACTTTAAGGAACTCGGATAATTTAAGATTCAGATCATTCAAAATACAAATGAATTCCCAGAGAATGAAGACAAGCGTTGATGACGAATGATTAATGTTTCCTCCAGCACGGTAACTGTGACTCACAGGCGTGTGTCTTGTGTCTTTCTGATGATACTCATGCCCATCCTGTAGCTCAGCCCAACTCGCCCTGCTTCCTATCTCTGAGGGGCTGGTAATGGTGTGACCTGTGACTGGGCTTGCAGAGGGCTGTTTCTTTAATATTAGCCCAGAAGAATGTGGAACCCTACAGGGACTGTGGGAAACTTCTCTCAATGTTTATCGCAACCTCCAAGCAGGAGAGCAATTTCAAGAGGGTGGTAGAAATTGCAGCAGGTTGAGTATTGAATGAGAGTAG